ATATTATATTATAAATTTATAATATTATATAATATTATAACCATAGCATTTTTGTAGTTTGGGTGTTTTTATATCTAGTTTCTTCACAATTTTTTTTTTTCTTGCAAGATCCGTTGATAAGCATCTTTTCTCCCTTACGAAGCTTTTTTTCTTTTTCTATGTATAAATTTATAATATTATATAATATTATAACCACAACATTTTTGTAGTTTGGGTGTTTTTATATCTAGTTTCTTCACAATTTTTTTTTTTTTTTGCAAGATCCGTTGATAAGCATCTTTTCTCCCTTACGAAGCTTTTTTTCTTTTTCTATGTAGAAGAGTTTAGTGTTATTTAGTTTGGATTATGTATTAAAAGTGTATTAATATATAAATTACATTTTTAATGTATAATATGACTTTTTAATGTGTCTACTGTGAAAACAATTTTTTAAATAGAAATGACAATGTTAAAATTTTAAGGTAAAAACCCTATTTTTGGTCTCTATACTTTGGTGAAAAGTTTTTTGTGGTCCTTATACTTGGATAAGTCCCCTTTTCATCCTTTAAGTTATTTTTTTGGCCTTTTTAATCCCTCCATTCACTTTTTGCTTACTTGATATGTTAATTAATGGAAAACTTATTTTTTTTCCTTTACTAAAATTATGTGGAAAATTCACATAATAAAAGATGATGATATGATCAAATTTTTAGTTTAATATAGAGCAATGATATAAAGATAATTATTTTATATCACATTTTTATATAATTTTCATATGTCATTAAATAAATAAATACATTCAATATCATAAGTTTTAAATAAATAAAAAGAGTCAATCATTTAAATAACATATAAAATTGTATCAAAATACAATGCTAAAAAGTTATCTTTAAATTATTTTCTTTTAATATAACCTTGAAACTCATTTAATTGCCATTAAAAGTATTTTAAAATTATTTAAATTTAAATTTATGACAAAATTACTTGTTTAACCCCTTCTTCTTTCCCCTTCCCTCTTATCCTTTCCTTCCTCTTCAATCACCAAAAATCCAAAACCCATGGTTTTATTTTTCTTCTCACCATCACCAAAAATCCCCATTTTCCCTCACTTTCCCAAAACCTAAACACCTGAAAGGCACTGTCAGATTTTCTAACAAAGCCTCGGGGGTCTTCGATTACCATGTTGATTGTCGACCATGTGGTCATTGCCATAGTCAATGGGCTGAATGCTCTGGTCTTGCGCTGGATAATAAATTTTGTCCACTTTAATTAAGTTTTATTGTGTGAAATTTCCGCATCAGAAGAAAAGAACAACTTTTTCCATCAAGTAATGTGCCAGGTAAGTGAAAAGTCAATGGAGGGACTAAAAGAGGTTAGAAAAATAAACTTAAAGCACTAAAATGAGATTTTTTAAGTATAAGGACAACAAAATTGACTTTTGACCAAAGTATAAGGACCTAAAATGACATTTTAACCAAATTTTGAAGAAGAGAGTTGAATTTTACACGTTGTTACAGTAATTGTTACTTATTCCATTTGGAAAACGTGCTTGGAATAAAAAAAAAATCCAAGGGTGGATAAGTTTTATATCCCACACGGAAAGCCGCCATTTCCCAACCCAAACAAACCCAAATTCTCATTTTCAGCTTAAATTCATATCAAATCACTACTTATAATCACAACACAATACAAACTCCAATATCCAAGTTCCCCACGTTCCTGTCTTGATGGAAGCTCCAATCTTCTTCCATCACCAGGACCGATTTAAAACCTCAGTTTTTCCACAAAAACCCTAATCCTTAAGGAGAAGGGGGGAGGGGGGGGATTTCAATTGGCTGCCAAATTTGTATCCACAGGACTGTATTAAGGCGGCAGCCAATTGAAGGACGGGATGTTGGGTGGTGCGTGGAACAATATAGCCAAGTCGGCGGAGGCCGTCTTGTCGCAGTTGGCCCTGAAGAGGTTGTTTAAGTTCTTGTTGAAGAGGACACTGGGGCAATTCATTCTTGGAGAGATTGACTTGGAACAACTTGATGTACAGCTTTCTAACGGTACCGTCCAGCTCTCCGATCTCGCCCTCAACGTCGATTATCTGAATAGCATGGTATGCTACTTTTTCTTTGCCTTAATGTTTTCGTTTAGAAGCTTAATGGGTAAGCCGATAAGGGAAGCGAGTTTTTGAATTTTTACGTGTTTTACCGCTGCTTTCCTTTTTCCCATAAAAACTTCACCATTCCTCCAAACCCAAGAAACATGGCATATCATGGTCCATGATGGGAGATTTTCTTGTTTTTCACTCCTACTTGTGAAGTGTGGACCTAAGGGTTTTTCTTTCTTGTACGTGGTAAATATTTTTGAAACTGGAGGTTTACTAATGAAGTTCCTTTTTTGCATTCTATTTTTGATAGACTTTTCCTTGGTTAAATCACCTTTTTATGCCTTTTCCTTTCCAGTTTGGTGCAGCAGCATCAATGGTTATAAAAGAAGGATCTATTGGTTCGTTGTTAGTTAAAATGCCTTGGAAAGGTAAAGGATGTGAGGTTGAGATTGATGAACTTGAACTTGTGCTTGCTCCATGCATGTCGAATAATTTGTCAACTTCAGATGAAAATTGCAACTTAAATGAGGATGATAAGCACTTTGTGTGCAGTGAAAAGGAAAAACTTGGGAATGATGTACCGGAAAATGCTGGGAGATCTATCTCCAGTGATGTTCATGAAGGTGTAAAGACAATTGCAAAGATGGTGAAATGGTTCCTTACAAGCTTTCATATAAAGATTAAGAAGCTAATCGTTGCACTTGATCTGTATTTGAAGAAAGGTGAAGGGGAAATTGGTTCAGAAAGGACTTTGGTTCTTCGGGTATCAGAAATAGAATGTGGGACTAGTATTTCTGAAGATGGTGATCCAAAGAATGAAGGAAAAGTGCAAAGCTGTCTTGGAATAAGCCAACTTACCAACTTTGTAAAATTTCAAGGAGCAATACTTGAACTTCTCTACATGGATGATATTCCTGATCAATCACGCTTTCCCTGCACATTGGGAACCACGTTTGGTGAACTCTTTTC